CTTGATACAAAGGATTATCACCTTTAGACCTGACTAAGAGCTCTTGCTTATCTAAAAAGTAAAAGTGAGAAAACATGATGAAAAAAAGTAGGGATGAACACATCATCATTCTCTAAGTCTCAAAATTTTTTCATATAAGTTCTGTTTATATAAACAATAAATATGGGTAGAAATAATCCAAAAATCAATATTTTTATTATTTAATATAGATTTTTTATATATGTAACACTATTAAGGATGAGTTCTAGAACTCAAGATTAGAAAAAAACTCAAACTAGTATCACACTATATATATGTATAGGGATTGTCAATTGATGGATAACAACTAGATCTTGTAAGCGTTGTTTTCTGTTGTGTATTCTTGGAAGCTATGGTTTATTAGACACAAAAAGAAGATCTCATGTCAATCTAAGTCAGCCATTGAAAAATGAAGCAGATCAATTTAAGTCTAGTAATATTTAGTTCATGTCAGCTTAAACTATCATTTCTTAAAGTTTAAGATGATGATTCCTAATATAACTAAATATATATTGCCAATTAAAATTTTAGAAATTGCAGGGGGTGGAAGGCGAGTCGGTAAGGGCGTACGGCTACCAACCTGAAGGTTGCGGGTTCGATTCCCGCCCTTCGCATATCGATCGGGGTGCCAGCCAAAGGAAGCTATTGGCGGTTAGTAGGTCTAATAACACGAAAACCTTACCCATGACGTAACCAGAAAAATTTGAGTCCCGATCCGGAGGTGGAAAAACTTTCTTCGAAGGAGTTGACCCTGTTCAGGTTTCATGTCGTTTCTTTCTTTTGGTAATGCCTGTCCCCTGGTCGGCTTGCCTCGGTTAAATAAAAAATAAAATTTTAGAAATTGCACTTACTATACAATAATTGTAAACTTCAAGCAAAAGTATATCCATGTACCCTTGGGTTGGGACCATCTAGTACTAAAAAAAAGTATATCCATGTAGAAATATAGAGTATAGTAAATAAAAAATGAAGGATATTTGGATCATAAGATATAATTTCTCCTTAGTAAACTTGATCAGCAGAAAATGCCATAATACTACGCTCCTCAATATTTGTGCTAACAAACATATTTTTATATATGAATTTTTTTAGCTCAATAGTATAACATAATGATGAGCAAGCATATATTTAAAAGAAAAAGTTGTTGAAAAATTTATAAAATATTTGTTTAAGTTTATTGTTACCTAAAGCTCTATTGTGGAAAACCTTTACTTAAAACACATAAAAATGGATTATAAGTATAAATAATACTATACCATTTGTAGTAGGTCTTACATCATTATTAGATTATAGATGTCCAATTTAGTGCTAAGTAAACTTGTAGATCTTAGTTATTTATATATTGATCTATCTTATAATATCTTAACTATACATTTGTTCAGGAGAATATGTATTTAGTTTTATTTGCAGAAAGAATAATTAGTATCTATCCTCAGAACCATTTTTTACATGCATACTTTTAAAATCACATTCAATAAGTGGACTATCTAAAAACTATAATCTATGATAGATAGTGAAAATCTAATACTAACTGTATGTTTGTCAGACAATTACAAGTCTGATATTGCAATAAGAGTGATTTGGGTTTTGATACAGATAAAATTGACCATAAGTCCTTGGTCAATTCTTGGTGGAACCCCTTGAATTGGGGTAACTCTTTATAAAGACTTCTCAGGCAAATAACATGATTTCAGGTGGTCAGATTGTACTGACTGTGTGGCAGGATCAGGGGAGCCATTTGGAGGCTCTCCACATCCTTCATCCAATTTAGTTAAACTTCAATGCGGAGACCAGCCCCTTTCATAGGCCTGGAGGGGGTCCCACCAGGTGAAAATATTTTCTTGCCCAATGGTTGGGTCAAATATATAAATCATTGCCTCATGGATATATCCTACCTTCAATTGACTTTCCATTGGCTGTTCCATCTAAGTGATGCAAGTCACAAGAGCTTAAATAGGCTGAAATTTAATATTCCCTAATTTGGCTATTCCTAGCTTAATCTGAACTTTACATTGATTTTCCATTAGACCTCAATATATAGTTTAATACTTAGCAGCAAGATATTGAGAGGGTTTGGATTTGACCCCCTTTCTGCATCTAAAAGAATATATATACCTATATTCTATTATATTAGTGTTTTATCATTTTTAATATAAGTGGTCTGAGAAACCCCCTGAATTAATTAATCCATCAAGTAGAGTGTACTACATCTCCTGAAGAATTATTGTTGGAATTTAGGTGCAAAATGCACCAGCAAGCACAATAAAGCCTAAAATCCTACAATGTTTAATGATAATAAGTTTCTGAATTTAAAAACTTATGTTAGATTAACATATATAATGTTTTTTGTAAGTTATACCATTAATGACTATAGTTATAAGCCAAAAAATTTAAGTAGTAATTTTGGATATTTTTTAATTATCAATGAGTTTTAAACTTATATAAGTACCAAAATATCTTTGGGAATAGAAATAAGCTAAATTACTGTTACTCTGGACTAATCATGTAAACAAGCATTTGAGCAATAATTTAGTTACTATAGTAATATTATAAATTTATATAAGTTTAGTTTTTAAAATTTATGAGCTGATCTAATTACACATATATAAGCATATGTAATTTAAGTTGATATAAGCTATTTATATCTTTTCATCCACATCCACCCCCACCACACTGATGCTCCAACACCCTGGCTCTCCACTTTTGTCCATTTCTACAATGAGACTGATCCTGTCATGAAGAATATGTCTGTATAAGAACTGCCAGATCTCCCTCACCCTCTACCATGGTGGGTTAGTGGTAATCCGCTCCCCCACCTGGTTGGAGGTTTTATTTTTTGATTTTATTGTTCTGTTCATTCATTTGTTTGGTTCTTTTGCTCATCAAGTATTGGTAATGTCTGTCCCCTGATCAGCTTACCTCAAATATAAAAAAATTTATTTGTAAATTTTCTTAATGTAAACAAAAAGATTCTTAAAGAAATCAGCTGATTGTAATTATGAGGATAACTGAAAAGTCTATGTTGGTATCAGATATTTGTTATAGAGATATACTTATTATGCTTCTAAAGTTAGAGATTTTATAAGTTATTATCTGAATATCTTTAGTTAACTATGCTTATAAGTATAAAGTAAGGAACTTTGTGTTTAAAATCATATTATAATTCAAGAAAATACATATATAGCTAAGTGTAGATTTTTGCCTGGTGTCTTTGGAAAAAGACAATGAAATAAATTGAAGATATATAATACTTTCTTAAAACTAATGAATGAAAAAGGAAAAAAGGAAAACTGCTTCCACCCTAGTGCAGGTTTCAAGTTCGAAACCTATACTGGCTAGAAAAAAATTCTCAGCGTGGTATATTTGTCCCAAGGTTGACCTATCTCAAATATTTTATGAATGAAAAAGGAAAACTTTTTGATATATCCACACTATATGCTTATCTATATCATAACAGTCCTCATATAAAAGTTACTTACAGGGTGCCATAGTCAGGATGGGCATCTCACTATCACCCCTCATGGTGCAGGTTCAAATCCCATCATGGCAGAAATTGTATTTCTGTGCCAAGAGGATATCAATGCATTTTGGATTCATGCATCATGCCTCAGTCTGACCAAGTGAATTAATGAAGTTATATCATGTAATCCCAGCCTATCAGAACATGTACAGGAAAATTTTACCCCCAAAATTGGTTTTGTCCTCCACTCCTATATTTTCTCTCCCTACTCCCTATCCCTTCTTTTGGTGCAGTATATCTGTCCCAAGGTTGGCCCACCTTGAATAAAATAAGTTACTTAGTACATTATTTAATAGTATAGATTAAATATGATTTAAGACTGTTTTTTACACATATAGAGCTATCATAATACCTTCATAAATTAGATAGATGACTATCATGATAAATACATATTTATAACAAACATAGAATTTAATTTATTTGAGGTAAGCTGTCCAGAGGATGGACAATACTGAAATACTCATAGAACAAAAGAATAATAATAAATATCAAACCAAAATGTTTGATACCAAGAAATACCTAAATGGAATAAAATAAAAACAATCATTCACCAACCAGGGAGATAGTGGAAACTGCTATAACACTATAGTGGAGGGGGAAGGGGGTTCAGGGGAGGTACAATAACCTCACTGCTAGTTTGTCTTAATCAGTGGCATAGGCCAGAAAGCAAGGGTGTAGGAGCATCCATGGAATGAGGTGTAGTTGAATGCAGAGAAGGGAGTATAAGGATTAGGGCCAACATGAGAGCTTCATAAAATTTAGTAAGGTCATGTTTCACTTGATGGTAGGTATTGGGCAATAGGTAAATTACCTGATATTACATAGGGTAATTTTGTTGTGTAGGGAAAACTTGGACGCTGCAAAAACATTATGGACAGAAGGGTTTTGTGGACAACTCAAACCTCTTTAAACGCATTTTCCCAAAGGGCAAAAATGCTAGGGGTAGAGCGCCGCTGCCCCACACTGGAGCAGCAGGCAGCGGTACAATGGATATTGTTGGAAAATGGTGGCATGGCAAGTTGATGGTGGGTTTTGTAAATTTTCTTTTAGTTAAAATTGCTCGAAATTGATTTTGAGTGGAAAGAAAAGTCCAAAATAGAAAATAAGAAGCAATATATTAGTATAGATCATCTCATAATGCTATCTTCAAATTTTGTTTGCACTGATTATATATAGCTGAAACATATATATTCTGTTTAATTTCATAATATAGCAAATTTAACTATGCAACAATATTCTAGTGCCTTCTCTACATTTAAATTATTTCTTATGTAATGAAACATCAAACTAGTTGCAGAAATATGGTATTGTGTATGTTTACCCTACCAATAATTCTAAGATAGTGAAATAGTGATACAATATTTTAGTCAAAATTACTAAAAAGGATAATAAATTTACTACCAAACCCAAAAAAATAAGCAAATTTAAACACATTTAAATGGTTGTTTTGCTCAAATAAAAAAGCTCCCTGCCAGGATCAAACTGGCGACCTTCAGATTATGAGACTGACGCGCTGGCAACTGCACCAAGGAATTTTTTTAAAAAACTCCATACTTTATTAAAATAAAATTTAATGGAAAGTAAGAGGGGAGGGTGGAATACAGGTGATTCAGCCAAAGGCAAAAAGGACTGGGGTTTTGGGCCACTAGAGTTCTAGCACCTCTGACCCTTGCTGATTGGTGATTGCCATCACTAGCCATGGTTCTAGCATTGGCAGGCTTACAGGCCACTCAATTCTTAGTCAATTAGTAGCTTCATTACATGCGATGAGCGATCCAGTGGGGAAAGCCAAACATGTGGTCTTATAACACCTGGGGATTATGCATGAGAATTTTGAGATCCAGCAGAGCTGATTGGAGATAATCCAAATGGTCTTTAATACCAAGCCTCTGTGATGGGGGCGCTAATTGCTCAAACCTTGGTGATGAGCGCACAGTGAATTACAATATGCAATAATGGTAAAAGAAGGCTCATAGTTGGATTGGAGCCATTCTCAGGGTTTTCATAAAGAACAGGTCCTGCAATGGATGTATACCCGGTGGCAAATGTTTGCCTGATAGGATATATCGCATTGTGGACCAGTATTTTTTGAACACTAAACATTCATAGTACCAGTGTGCTATGTCTGCTTCTGGTTCAGTGCATATGGGGCATTCTTTGTGCTGGTAGTCCAGCCCGCTGTGCTTGCCCAATTTGAATGCCCAATTTAGGATCCGCCAGGTTACTGAACGTTGATTGGCTGTAACCAAGTGGGAGTTCAGGCCCAAAATCAACTCCTTCATCGGGTAGTTGGTGTTGTGGCCTTTGGTAGTCCAGTCATTTAGGATTTGTGGGTGGGTGGGCAGATTGCACCCTGGTTTTGGGAGTGGATCCCCATATTCTATCAGCATTAATTTGTACCTATTCTGATTAACTTGGTTGCATATTTTTCAGTGATTCAGTTATGCTCCTCCCAGCTTGTTGCAGAAATCATTGCGGAGTTATGTGCTTTGACGTCCCTCTCAATTTGGTCAGCCTCTTGGTCTGAACTTTCAAATGACCACCCGCCTTGGCACACTGCCTGATTGCAGAGTCGCCAGTAGTGTGGGCACCTTTTCAGGAGGTTATCTGTGGGTGGTTCGCCATCTATTCACATATTTATCAGGGGGAGACTAGCTCTTGGAGGCCTTGGGCTCTTGCCCTGTTCACGCCCCATGCTAGAGTCAGGCAGTGCATGTGCATCTGTGTTAGCTTCAGAAATGACTTCCCCCATATGCACTGGGTGTGAGATTCAAAGTCCAGGAGGCCCATGCCTCCTTCATTCTTTGGTTTTGACAGGGCTTCCAGTGGTATTGGTGCCGCCTTCGCCTTGAACCACAGGAAAGTTTGGAGCATTGACCTGATTTTCTTCTCTAAGTTTGGGGCTCATCAGCATCACATGAGCAACATATCACAATTTTAAGAAGATGAAAATTTTTACAGCCTGCACTTTCTCCTCTAGGCATAGTCTAGCGCTTTTCCAGCATTCCATTTGGATCAACAAGCTTGACAATACTTCTTGTTTGGTCTCCAGTACCGCTGGTCCCTTGTCGTTGAAGAGTATCCTGAAGTATCAGACTGTCTGGGAGCTCATAATTGGCGTTGTGTCAGTTGGCGGGCTGAAGCTCAGGTTGCCAACCCTCATCACTAAGGTTTTTGCCAAATTTATTTTTTGCATTTGATGCAAGCTGATAGAGGTTTAATAGATCCTTGGCGCCCTGGAGGTCAGTTGAGGGGCTTATTCCTACTACTGTATCATCAGCGAATGCTAGCATCTTTAGTGGCATTTGGTTAGGGTGGACTAAACCCTGGAGCTTTGCGTCCACTGCTGCCAATAGAATGTTGGCTGCAAAGTTGAAGAGTATCAGTGACATTGGGTCTCCTTGGCGGAGGCCTTGCCTGACAGGGATTTTTTTAGTCGCGCCATCTGTGACAATAACCTTCATTACCAGGCCTGAGTACAGCATCGTTGTCCATGCTCAAAATGTGTCAGGGATACCGACCGCCTTCAGTGCCTCATGTAGGAAAGAACACGCTACTTTGTTATATGCTTTTATCATGTCAAGGAACATAAGGTATCCTTGTTTGATGCCCCTCATATCCTGGAGTATGCTCTGGACTGAACCAATGATGTCCCATATACTACGGCCTTTGATGAAGTCATGCTGGGCACTATGAAGTGTGTGTGGTGCTTTTGCCATCAGCCGATTAGATAGTATGCACAAGAGCAGTTTATAATCAGCGTTCAATAGTGCAATCAGGCGCCAGTTCCAAAGTTGACGTCTGAGGCCTTTTTTGTACAGAAGTACAGTTTGGGTCTCATAGCCTCCCAGAATTTGTTTGCCATTGTTCAAACAGTGGTTAAAGAGGGCTTTGAGCTCCAGCGCGATTTGGTCTTGGAATATGCTGTATATTTCTGCACACATATTGTTGGGGCCTGGTGCTTTCATTCTTGGAAACTCCTTTAGCACCCGCTTAACTTCATTGATAGAGATTTCAGTGGATAGCTTGGCAATGTCTTCCAGCATACAGCCACCAAGTGCTAGCTTGGCCAGGTCAATAAGGGTGTTGTCACCAATTCGTTCATTTCTCTTTGTCAGAAGAGATTGCCATAAAAAAGCTCAACCTCACGCTTGATCGTTTTGGGGTCTGTTGATACTTCCCCATCTGCTGTCTCCACTTCCCATACCCTAGCCTTAGTTTGGATTTCCTTGAGGTGTTTCAGGCCCTCTTTGGTCATTGTCCCCGCTAAGCTCTGATATTGGTAAGTTGCATTGGTCCATCTCTCTGAGTCTTATTTCATCATTATAGCCCGATACTTTTTGTGTGTTGTTTGGTACTCGCTCCACCAGTCTTTGCTGTCCTGGCAGTTGAGCCTCAGCCTTTCTAATTTAGACTTCAGTTGCTTCATGGCAGCTGTTCGCTTGTAAGAGGTCACTTTTTCGAACTTCATACTATTGTGTTTCATCTTTGCTTTGATCTGGGTCCATCGTTCTAGTGGGTCCAACTCCAGGTGGTTGTCCAGATGTGCTACTAGACAATCCATTCCCTCATCAACCATTTGGCGCCAATTCCCATTCCTCAGCGTGGCTGGTGTCAGTTGCCACTTGTGGTTCCTCGGAGGTTCATCAAGGTTATTCTCCACCTGGATGACCACGTGGTCGCTTTTGGCACTTATGATAACCTTGCTGTTGGATGTCATTGGCCTGAGGTCTGATGATATGAGGATGTAGTCTAAATGTGATCCTGACAGTGGGGATCCAGCGGCATCATATGTCCACCACATTAGATTGGCTGAGTCGTTGTCCTCTTTGTCAATTGTTAGGCATATCCCAATTTGACTAGGTAATTGAGCATCTCATCGGCTTTACTGTTGGAATGTTCTCTCATCAGGTATGTATCCCAGCTTGCATTCGTCCAGCAGTTCAGGTCGCCTGCTATTACAGTTGTCACCTTGGATGGCACTTCTGCTAAGAATTCCCAAAAAATATGGTTTTTGTGGAGCTTCAGTGGGGCATAGACTGCTACCACTCATATGCTCCTGCCAGTGTCTCTGTTTGTAGCCGTCACTATCAAGATCCTACCAGCGTGAGTTTCTTCCACGAATTCCAAGTCTATTTTCTTATCCATTGTGACTATCGCCATGTGGTCCATCCATAGGGCTTGGTAGCCTATCTGGCAGGACCATGGGTGGTTTTTCATGTCATGGTTTGAGCTTGGCACCATTTCCTTTTGGTTACCAGCTTGTGTTTCTGAAATAAAAATTAGGTCAATATTATTATTAGTTTTTAAGTGGTGCATTTTCCTCCTCCTCATTTGTATGCTCGCCATCCCCCAAGCATTTGTAGTCGCTATCCTCATTTCTGGCTGCCTGACCCATGGGTATGAGGTTTAGCATTGTCTGGGTTGTGGATCGAGTCATGTACAGAGGTCAGGTTGGTTGATGGCGGTGGTGTTGATAATTGGCGGGGTGCAATATTTGGTTTTCAGGGTCGGTTGGTTAGGACTGGGATTATATTCCTGGGCATCCTGTGCACTGGAAATTTGGTCACCATTCTCATCTCCCTATCAATGGTTAATGGGGATGGTTTTATGATTGAGTCCAGATGCCCCTTGTTCCCGTTGGGTAGACTGGCGGATTCTCCCTCATCTAACAGCCAAATTTTCACCCCTTCATTTGATTTATTGGCAGAACTCAATTTTTTAGTTAGTGATTGCCCAGCCAATTTTGTCAATTTCATCACTCCTGCAAATTTTTCGCCAGTTGCCTTGAGCTTATTTGCTGATGAATTCTGATTTGTTTTTGTATTCCCTTTCATCTTTTCAGGCTTCAATTTCAACTTGTTGGTATCCTGTGTCCGCCCATTCTTTGGAGATTTCTTTGGATTCACCTTCTGCCATCTTTCCTCCTCCCTGACCATCCATTCCGCTTGGGTTGGACGTTTCTCTGTTGGTCCTGGGTCAGTTCCCTCATCCATTGTCTAATATTTGGGGTTTGGATTTGTAAACGGTTTGTCATCTGCTTCAGGTCATTTTGCTGTTTCCTGTTCCCATGCCTCTCTATGTGCCAGGTCTAATTCTTGTCGCTGGCGTTTCATATCCGCTACCTCTGTTAAGTTGCATGGGATCCATTCTCTGGCTTTCAGGCGGAGGAAGTCTTGGTACCCACCTTGGTGATTTCCCCGATGGGTCATATTTGTACTCTCGAGTAGTTTTACCTTTATGATGGTGACATTGAACCATTGTGTGGCCAGTCTGATAGCAGAACCAGCACACTTGTTTGGCATTCTCCTGTTCAACATATACTACCCTATCAAGGCAGGCAGGCGGATGAATCTGGGTATAGCAATCTTGTTTGTTTCATCTTGGGTGCCAGTTTGTATAGCGCTTCCACTGTCCAAGGGCGGAGGCACTTTGTGATGTAATTCCCACCAGCTTGTCAGAATTCTCATACTTCCCCATAGTATGACAATCCAGTCCAGATCGCTTCGTGCACCCACTCCTGTTCACAATTGGT